CTGACTGACTGACTGACTGACTGACTGACTGACTGACTGACTGACTGACTGACTGACTGACTGACTGACTGACTGACTGACTGACTAACCTACTGACTGACTGACTGAATGAATGAATGAATGACTTATTCACCTTCAGAATTACCGGTGAGGTAAAGTACATGCTTAAACTCGCTGCGCAAAGTTCGTAGCTCACTCTTCCAACTGCTCTATGAACTCAGATAACGGATTCTTTTGATGATGTGAGGCCGCTTTTAAGCAAACATTGTTGCTTAAACCTATTCATTGCTTGGGCTCATTAACAAGACTGTAGTTTGGCAAGGTTTTATAACGGTCTCCTTCTGGTACAACATAAGACCTGCAGTCTTGTGTTTCAGTTAGAAAAAAATCACTAACCTTGGTAAGATCCAGACCCACCCATGAAAGTCGTTTACGCTTTTAATCAGTATACGCTTCAACAGCGCTGTGGAAAAACGTAAGCAGCTTTCATGCCTGAGTTCGAATCCTACCAAGGTTGATGATGTCACAACACCTTAAACACAAGATGGCCGTTCCTCGGACTTGGTCAGATAACATAACATAAATAATTATCTCCAATTCATCCCTCATTCTTTGAAGCAAGCCGTAAACTGTTCATCATTACAAATCTTGGGTAGATGTTTTCAAATGCACAGATTTTATCGCCCTTCCCTCATCCTTGAGGCCGTGCAGATTCTGTTTCTGAAGACGGAACGATCACTTTCATCTCCTCATACATTGTAACCAGTAACCCAATGTTTGAACAGAAGCAGTCACCCCCAACGTTTGAACAAATATGTCGCATTTGACTCACATTTACTTGTGAGTAGTGGTGTGGGATAGTTGATGTTCTATTGATTTGAGCTGACTATCCTTTGGACTTCACCTTCACGCACAATCCTCAGTTCATCGATTCAACCATACACTCGGAAGTACTAGAATGGAGTTTCGCTCTTATTGGAGCTCATCATTAGTGCATATCGACCGTCCCGTCCGAAATTTGAACTCCGGACCCATCGTATGGAAGGCGTGTGCGTTACTACTGTGCCAACCAGCTCTTACCATGGCTGAACCAACTTGCCAATTCATGTTTGTTTAGGTGTCGTCTTCAGTGATAGTCAGTTCATTTGGAGCAAATATCGATGACTCTTATATGCGATAGAAATCTGTGTGGTGACCAACAAATTGTACTGAACTGCATTGTTGTCCAGTTTGAACTTGATAGGGTTGCGTGATTTTATATTTTCTTCTGGGACTCAAACCGCAAACTTTTGGGTTGGGTATTGAGGGTCAAATCCTCCAGTGAATGGCACAATCGACTTATAGTATCAGGTTTGAATTAGGTCATTTGATTATTCACAGGAACCAGCCACTGCTGATGATCTTCGATTTGTGTTTAACTCTTTAGCTCGTTAGTTCCCCACCACTTAAATGCATGTATATGCGATAGAAATAGCTCAAGGTGTTGATAATCCACCGATTAGATCAGGTTTAGGAGTTTCTGCTCCCAGCCCGGAAGTTCGCGGTTCCAGTCCTGGGAGGGAATAAAAACGCAAGCACTCCTGCCGAGTCCCAAACAGGACAGAATAGCTACCCAGTTATCTTTGTCAGGCACCAAAGAAACTTCCATCACAAATAAATGCATTTAACGGTTGGAGAATCAACAACATCCTAAGGAATGAAACCCTCACCCAGGACCTGGTGATAGTCAACAATTGAAGGGAACGATTTAAACATTATACTTCACACATTTTCACGTTCTTTTTCTCGGAAAATCTTAAAATCACTGCGCAATCCACAAAGTACCTGTTTTAATACTCAAAATAATGAACCACGAGTGAGCACATCACCGATCGTAACGGGAACAGGATTGAGAGAACGACCTTAAGTGAAAACGCATATAATAGTTTTTCTTTCACAATGACCTTCATTCATCCTAATCAAATATTCGTTTTTCCCTTGGAAAAATTCCTAGAGTTTATTTATCACAGCTAGACGAGACAAAATACACCAGAAGATGTCCAAACCAGCATTAGAAAAAACTTTTTAAGTGTTACCCATGAATTGACAATTCAGAAGCATGGAATGAAAAAAGTGACGCACTGCTACTTTCATCTTGTCGGGTCTCATCAGCAGCGCACATTCGTTAACCCAAATGAGAATCGAACGACTACATCCACAGGGAGAACACAGGCACACTGCATACTTAAACACCATATAGCTTATTAAACTGCTTCGTATTGCACTCGCACAATAATACATAATATATCCTGCAGAAGGTGATCTTTGCTCATCTGGAACTTAGTGCAATAGTGAACTTAGCGCAATATTCCACTACCGGTTTGATAGTTGCACCCAGTGGAGATCTTTTTATACAAACACTCAGGGGCAACTTGTTGTTGTTGCTGTTGTTTTTGTTGTTGTTGTATATGATCACGCAAACGTTCTACCGCTATGATCGCTGATAACATTTCAGTGCTGGAAGGTAGTAGTGCATGGTACGATTACACTTATTATTAGACTATTCGGGCTGAAACTTGATACCCTCGATACCCACTAGATTATGCGATCTATCAAACCCGACACAAGCCCGGAGAGCTTTAAGCACAGCCACCACCACCACCAGATCTAGTGTCGATCAGGCTTTCCTAAAAGGCAGTTCATTGATTATGGCGGTCACTGAGACAGTCTCCAACAAATTAATTTCAGCATTCTCCGCACGCATCATTGTAGGGTGAAGCAGCACCAAACTGGAGGCAGAAAAAACAAACAGAAATCGCACTCGAACGATCCAGATGAATTATGGGTCTGTGAGAGACGCGAGGAGAGCGAGGTGCGCAAAACGCTCTCCTGTGTGTGTGTGTGTGTGATCGAAACAAAATGACTGATCGTATTAAATTGGGGGAAGGAATCCACCACAAGCAGGCTGGTTTGTGATTATTTAAAACATTATGCAAACAAGTGTCATTCGGAGCGATCCCGACGACTTAATAACGGTCGTTGGTGTGATTTTTATACAGATAATTTGTCCCAATCAGTGAATTCGTATTCAACTGAATACGTTGGTCAACATCTGGCATAAAAAAAGACCATAGCTCGTGTGAAGAGTTTCAACTTGAATGCATTCAATAGATAAAGAATAGTTTAGCAAGATTTTCTGTCTGTTTTTTTTCTCTGTTCGTCTTTGCATATGGCCTTGTCTAACCGAAAGGATGCGTGCACTGGAAGTCAATTTTTAGCTCCTAACAGATGTGAACATTTAGCGGAATTCGCCTTTTCTTGCGCGTTTAGTTTTTTGTTCACATTTCTTTCAGTCTATTCGTTATCCTTCCTTGTGTACGCCACATTCTTCTCCGACCCATTTCGAATCAGAAGGCACCAATCCCATGCATGCCCAAACGGTTCACTGGCACCGTTCCAACACTTCGTGTATAAGTAACTCTCTCCGGTGTAAGGACAAATTATTCATGCTGCTTTTAAATTAACTCTGAGGAAAGATACACCATTTTGCTTCTTTCGTTCTTTGATATTCAATATGCATCAACTGCTGACAGATATCAATTGCATTAATTATCACCTTTATTCGGTTCCCTGAAATCCTGTCCGCCAGATTCTGTGTTCATTTCTGATTGTCACTTTTCCTAATAACTTTATCGTGTTTTACAGCAACCCTTTGAAGAGATGCAATAACTTTGTTCTAGGTACACCCCATTATTCTAGTGAAAAGCAGTACCCAATTTTGTTGGTTTAGACAAATCGTGATTATTTAGGATGGAGTTAAAACAGAAACTCAGATTTCAAATCTAACCTCCCCAATTCACTTATTCCTCAATTTGGTCTGGGGCATGATTTAATAAGGTTCTTCACTACCCTATACCACAATTAGCAAGCAAAGTAAACTATTCACATGACTGATTCACCAATCGCTCAAAGCAGCCAACTGGATGCTTGTTGCAATCCTACCAATTTCTTGGTCACAGATCCAGACAGGTTTCGATACTGGTAACAGTTCTGTAAATTATCCAAACCAAAGCACAAGTATGTCCAACTAAAATGTGCAGCGCAGTGTTTACTCAGTAGACTCAGGGTAGAATTACTCTTATCAAAGAAAAGAAGAAAACGATTTCCCCTTCCTCGTCTCCTTCTATACTCAAAAAACCCTTGTTCGATATTGTTGAGAAAATGAACAGCAGTTATTTCAACTTCATGGCTCACATTTGGCCAATTGTGATCTCTGGTCTCTTTGTTTCGTCAACGTTTTGATAACCCTGTGCTGGTTGCTAGCATTTTCTTTCTTTCTTTATTTCACTCTGTGTTCTAATAATCCGTTTATGATCAATTGAATGCATCATTTAGTGATTCATAATGAATAAATCAACTTAATGAAAAATCAGTTCCCTCAATTTCAGTTATCAAGCGTTTTTGTTTTGCTGTGCACTGAACGGGGAAGCGGGTTAGTAAATTTTCCACTGATTAGAGCAGTATGCATTGAATAAATTGGTTCAACAACTATTCTATCATACAACAAAACGTACGTAAAACTCTTATCATCGCTTTCATCGTTTTTTCGTGCCGCACTTTGTCACCCGGCATTTCACCACCTATCCACTCCCGCTCACTCGCAGATTATCAAACAGATCAGCGAGTTGCCCACGTGTCAGTGCAACGAGTTGAGTGATGAGGTGATCCCAGCCGCACCGGGTGAGACAGGAACCGCGTCTAGGGAGGTTCGCAAGCGGACGAAATTGGAAATAGCAGTACAGTCTGCTCTGGAAGCAGCTAAAGATGTTCTCCGACCACCCACTCCCCCTCCACCACCACCTCCACCACCTCCACCGCCAAGGTAAGTGTGTGAAAGCTATTTTCGACGCTTATAGCATTTAGTTTTAGCGGTTGGAAATTAATGATTCTCTGTGCACCACCAAGTATCATGCCATTCTAGGGTCTTAATCCCATTGAATTGGCCGTGATGAGACAAAAAGAGAACCTCCGAAATGTTTGCATTGCCTCTGGGAAAGGTCAGATCATAGGTTGAGAACTGCACACGGTACAGAACAGCGAAAGAAAACATTAGTACAAACAAAACACTGCTAACGACTAATTTTCTTGCGGCACGAAATTCGATGAGCTGATTCCTACGAATGCGGAAGCTATCCATATGCCGCCAGTTTCACGCTAGTCGAGAATCATCAGCGCAGAAAACCAGTTGAACATGATCGAAGGATTGACTGTCCATTATTTTTCGTTTTCTTTTATTAATGCATCTAAACTTTTTTACATTTGGCTGTTTATATTTGTTATGCACAGAGGAGGAGTTTTAAAAAGAAGACTGTAAGGTAACAGCGTGATACAAGGAAGGCAAACGTCATAGGAAAACTGGGGTCACGGGAAGTCCTCCTCGTTACCTTGGAGTTCTATTTTATGCTGAAATTATCAATCAAATCCGATATCGCATTCATCTAACTAACGCAAAGTTTTGGACAACTCTTTCCCTCGATGCAAAAACAGGGAGTTAGGCGGATCAGGATGTGCGTATTGCGATAGAAATTTTATTGCAAAGTGAGGAACAGATGAGTTTTCGCATAATTCCAGCATGTAATCGCTATTTCATTGCATGAATTTGAAATAAAACGATTCACAGAATAGAAATGTTATGTGAACATACATTTTCAGTGATTTAATTTGCAATTCAATCGCACAACTTGTATTGAAGATCAAAGGGCAATCTGTTGGGGTTGACCAGGCTGAGTCTATGGAAGTACAGAGTGGGTGTGTTGGGATCTCCTTTTAGATTCAAATGTGTCTCCAATCTGCTCATAGATGGGCAGGTGTAACCCAGTTACACAACGATTATCAACGAAATTAGGTCATCCATTGTCCCGTAATGTCCGATTAAGGCCATGAAAGCTGGATTGCCTGAATCAACTTTCGTTGCACTAACACACACACACACACACACACACTGATCGGGCTTGAGGAACTGACTGTTTCTTGCGTTTTATTATTCCAGTTTATTTTGGCTCGTGTGTGTAGTGGGACTCGATAAAAGGATGCGTATATGGAACTAATATTCACTGAGTGTCTGGTCTGAATCCGGTGAATTATGACTGAGATTGGATTGCCCCGAATACAGCCATGTCTCTGGCATCGTAGATGGGCTCAGCGGTTCACGAGGCTTTATTCGGTTTTCTTCTTCCAGAAGGATATACTTCGGAAATATTCAACTTGTTGTTTGACAGACTGAACTTTTCACAATCTCGACATAAAATCTTTCAGTGTGTTACCTTTCTAAGTTCATTATATGCAAATATTTTGGGTGAATGAGGGTATGTAGCGACCTAGGCAACTCGTTTGTTATCAGTGGTGAAATTCGTAAATGCTGCCCTATTTCCCTATTCCTGTTCAATTTTATTTTGAATTGGAGAACACATTTTGTGTTTTCCAAAATATTGGTAATAAATGAGTATCCAGATCAAGGCTGTGCCATTTAGGGTACCTCGAAAATATTTTCTGTTTTTCCGAACGAATTAAGTACGCACAAAGTAGACTTGACAGTCTCGGAAGTTCTGTTTCCCCTTTCGGTATGCGATTTGCACCTTCAAAGTGCAAACTGATGCTATCAGACTGTGTTAACTAGTTCTGCTGATAAACCAGGTTGGCAGGAATTGGCTGCTGTTGACAGCCCTTCCTACCTGGGTAGTTACGTGACTGATGACAGTAGCACAGTAAAGGAGATAACCATACGCATGTGCACGAGCAGAGTATTCAAACCTGAAGTACTTTTGACATCGCTGTGACATTTCACGGAGGTGAAAAGATTGCATATACTGTGAAACCGTTCGATCGGTTCTGCCTTAGAGTTCTGGGACCTTGAACTTGCGAGTAGAGCACATTGATTAACTGCCGGTTTTCGACAGTAGTTTGGCGCTGTTTTGACATAGTGAGCCCTGTTTGTAACCTTGATTTAAACCCTCAGGTGTTTCGAAAAGCATCCCTGAATAAATGTCATTCACTTCAGTATGGTAGGGTTTGCGGAGTGAAACACGTATTGGCCACGTCGCCTACCATAACATGTTTTATGTACGGTTACCACTCCGGGCTGGAGGAAACCACGTGGAGGAATTGCAAGAAGATATTTATAGAGCGGTTAGGTGGAATAGGCGTCTCTCATATTCCAGGTTGGGATCCAAACACTGCAACCGGGGGATTGGAGACAGTGAAGGATATGGCATCGAACAAACAAACAGCGGTGGCATTCCTGTAGTCACTTCTTATTAAATCAAAATGTTTAAAGAGGTGTGCGTGTGATCAGTTAGATTCTGCAGTGACCATCAAGGTCCTTTCATTCCTTCCTAATTTTGTGGATATTGTGAGTTTAGCAGTGATCAGTGAATCTCGCTTCGTTAACTTCCGCTCTGCGATAACCATGATGAACATAAGTGATCGTTTTCATGTGTTACAATTCACGCATGTGGCATTGCAGTACACTTGAAGTGAAAAGTTATCATAGGTGTGTCAAAACGGGCAGTTTGTTACTTTTGCCAATGGCCTTTTAAGGGCATAAAGCAGACCATGTAAACGAGAGTTAACTGACCGTCATAAAGTAATCGGATTTTTGTCTATTTCTGCACAGACAGATCCGGGGAACATTGGACCCTAAATCACACCCACGTTTTTAGTCATGCATCAAACTATCTAGAACGTTTACTCCTGACATGTTGTTTCGAATTTCCATTGGCTTGAAAATGTGATCACCAAATGCCACATGGTCAACTGCCGGCTGCGTGCCAATCGAAATAATGGGCTAATTTCATATTTCAAAGTATCATTGATCAACTGACATCTTTTGCTGATTAGAGATCAGAACCACTGAATGTTACATTCTTGCAATAAGATATCCGTGTATTTTGAACATTTATAATCCATCATAAATTATTTCCCGCTGACCTTTTCCCTTCCTATGCTATAATTTCACGCAAAACCGTATCCTGTTGGCTACATCCTCATCGTGGGAAAGTCTTCTTCCCGCTAAATGATATCTTGTTTCTTCCTGATAGTTCAGTGTTAAATTACATCACTCCACTTTATCGTTCAATCAGTGTTTTCACATAGAGGACTATTGGGCAGGTTGAACATCATCCAGTTGAGTGTCAAGTTTTTCAATGTCAATTTTTACTGTTTTAAATACAATGATTTTGTTTTCGTTTGAAGCTATCATAAATCGAATGAGTTCGGTCGTATATAAAATTAGAATGTGACAAAGTGGGTTTTAAATTCTGGGTATTTTTGGCTTGCCATCAGGTCCTTTCTATCACCACCAGTCTATTCATCGGAAATCCCCATCACTGAATTAGATCCGATTTCACCTTGTTCATACCCACTTTTAAACACGAGACTTTCGAAACGTCCAGTTTACTTTATTTAATGATCTGCGTATTTCTCGAACTTTATCTCGGCTGAACCTCAGAGAATCACCGGTACTGTTAGCTGCCCCCATACCCGGTTCAGAGGATGACTCCAGCGGATCGGAAGAAGGTGGGGATCCGAAATCAGATCCCTTCACCGTCCCCGATGTAACGGACAATCGCACCGGTCGCGTCATCGAACGAGTGATTAACGCACATCGGCTTTGGCGAATTGCACCATTTAATTTTGAAAAATACCCGGGAATGAGAATGAATGTGCCACCGGAAAAAATGGCCTGGACGGTGAGTATGCGCACATTGTGGATTTTTCAATAGGTTCCCAAATAGTGATTAATCAGAAAAGCACCATTGGTGCCTCTCATGTTTGCCAGTAGTTCGTTTTTCAAAATACCCGGGAACCCATACGAAAGAATTCGGTTCTTTAGTTGGTGCAATGTTTTTCCGGTAAATAATAAATGATCTTGCCCATTCTAACCTAGGTAACGGCATGTACTAGTAATGAATAACGAGAAGGAGCAGGATTCTGTGTGTTTGTTTGTGGTATATAGAATCCCAATCATTTTATCTCATTTCCTCGAACATAACATTCACGGTTTGAGGCAGCTCTTATAATGGTTTTCATGCTCAGCCTTATATTCTCTTTGCGTTGCGTATGCTATGAGGAACCACACATGATCAAAGCTGAGGCACAAACTAAGGTACTGTTGCCCATTGGTGATGAAGAATAGTGACCAAACTGATTTTACAACCGTTTTTTATTCTAGCTTACGCGATCCTCGGTATCAGTTATGCAAAAACGTTCTGAACAAGGCAATGAAACCCAATTATCAGCAGGAAACTAGTTAATGAGATATTTTTATTGATATTTCATGTACGTGCCTCATAAAGGAGTAATTTGTTTTAAATTATCCGTTGAGGGGAAACATACAATCATTCAATTTGATCGTATCGCCTAAATCGGGACAAACTGCACATCTAATTGATGAAACTCCGCTGTCTAGTTGCAACCACATCGATACGTTAGATACTGAAGATTAATGTATCTCACAGACTGGCCTCATTCATATTGAAGTACGTGTTTGATGATTCTCCCATGGATCATACCGTGTGCTAATAATCCGACTGAGTGGGAGGACATCACTCGAAATGACCACATGATCTGAAAAACAAGTGTTCTACCCAGTTCCATTATCGACTGTTTGATTGACAGTGTTCATAGGATCAAATCACTGAATAAAATGTAAACATTGTATTGGGCTAACCTCAGGCGATCAGTGAACAGCCAACTTCCAGCTTCATACAAGGCAAATTTTTCAACATCAGATGACAGTGCTATTTAAACTTCACTTGAAATCGTTTAAACCTCAAGGCTCAATCTAAACTCACTTACCTGGCTGATNNAATTCGATTTTTCGCTATACTTCCCAACACACAGCTTGTTCCTTCGATGTTCCTTTTGATCGGATCTTTCGCAGCCTGATTGCGTTTGCCCCTTATATTTCATTGAAGTAGGCTGCTTGTGACAAGCATGACGTACAGTAAGCCATGATCTAAAAAAATTTCGTAACCTTTCGTCGTGTGTTTTGTGGGGCATGCATTTGACGTATGTATAATATTCCACGAACTGTGGCCTTATTCTTGATCAGTGACTTTCTCCTGCATAGGGCTGCGTTGTTAACAATGTAGAGTTCCGTGAAGAATCTTTTAGATATAGTACAGCATGACATCCCAAACGCTCATTTGTCTTTTCCTCTTACTCGCAACTTGGAGGTCGCACATGGTTACCTTGTTTGATGGCGACGAAGTGGAACCAGCGGCATCGATCAGAGTAGAAGAGGCATTCAGGCTTGGAAAACCCTGCCAGGATAATTCTCCACGACCACTGAAAGCGGTTCTTCGAGCAGAAAGCGAGGCCAAAGCGATACTCCAGCGGACCCACAAGCTGAAGGGAACTCCGGTGCGATTCCTCAGGGGTCTTGATCCGGACCAGCGCAGTAAATTGAAAACTGCATTAGAAGAACTCAGGGAGCGCTGTGCAAAAGGGGAAAATGATCTGTGTATATGGGATTTTCGTGTGCATCGGAAGCGCCCTCAGTTGCGTCGGCTACCCTTGGTCGAGGGGAGGACCCAGGAGACTGTTTAACAACGGACGAGGGGATTAGCTTGAGACGCGAATGACGAGGTAACCACGCTGTGCTAGTCTCAACCAATACCCGAGGGATGCTGGGAAAAAGGGATGAGCTGGAGGACTGGGTTATATCCCACAATCCCGATCCTTTTGCAATCACTGAGATCGGGTTGACACCGGATGTCCGGGACTCACGGATACACAGTGTTTCGAACGGATCGATCGTCGTCACGTTGCGGTGGTG